TCAAATCCTAATTCTCAAATATAATCATTCATGTTGAAATCAATGAGAATGAAAATAGCGGAAGCATAAACATACCTTGATACATAGATTTCTGATTCTTAGCATGAATGAGTTACGATCTTCCAATTGATTGGTGATCTTTATTTCAATTTCGCTCGCTATTAATGGGGATGCAGAGAATCTCAAAAACACCAACAAATGGGGACCATAACAATATAAAATACTAGTAGTAACTAAATAGTCACTATTTTTCAGTTGCTTCAAATTGGTCCATTATCAATTTAAAACAACACTCCACTTTCTACACTATATTTCCATAAAACCTAATACCCATTAGTCACAATACATCTTTAACGGATCACTTTAATTGACTAATATCTTGTAAATAATAGCACCACACATTTTAATATACAATGTATGGCCCCAAATATGTTGAAATTATCCAACATAGGGCCTTTACAAGTTGAAGGATTACCTTAAAAGGAAAAGAGGAATACTCTAAGCAACATTTTACTTCTTAAAATTAATTTATCAAGTGAAAATGGAAATACTTGCAAACTTCTAATTGTGATATTTCTACTTATTCCATAGAGCCAAAGCTGCAGCGCGATAAGGTCGAAAAATACACCATTTTCTTTATAAAAGCTCTTTTTGTGGGCAACCTACTATGCTAATAAGAAAATCTTTTTCTTTTTCTAATTAAGATAAACAGAAAAATCCTTATTGTGCATATTCTAAGAGCAGCAGAAGAATGGTACAAGAACCCTAGGATATGGCAAGCAACAAGGTTCCTCCTTTAGGATCAATCATAAAAAGCTCAATACTCATAGCTCGTCTGAGAAGTGTTTATAAACGACTTAAATTATATAGATAAAAATGACTAATGAATAAGTAGGTACTACTTATTAATCTTTTGAATTATGTAAACAAAAAGTAAATTCATTACTTATAAACATGAGCCAAACATTGGCTAGCTATAAATCATTCCAATGCCTAAAAGAAGTGGAACAATAAAGAATCTTATTTCGTTATGCCTTTGATTCAAATAAATATTTTTTTTGTAAAAATTACACTCACTACGTCTCTTTCTTTTAAAATTATAATTCCATTTACTATACACATAATGTAGTGAAATAAGATTGGAACAGAATTTTTTCAACAAAATAAATAAATAAAGATTTATATACTCTCTTTTTGATACATCATATGTTTGTTTATGTAACTCATTATGTACAAATAGTATTATTCTTTCTACTTATATATCACTCCACTCCTGCAACCACCGCTATCTATCACTGCCAAAATCGTCGGCGGCCACCCACTTCTGTCCAAAAAGCTGTGGATTTTTCACTCTCACTTTACTGAATTTTCAATGGTTTAAGCTCTGATTTTTGTTTTTATTTGTTACCTCACTTGCGAGAGCAGCTGTGAGTAGCTCTTGTTCTAGTTCAATATGAATTAGTTGTAGGATGAATTAACACCCATCTGAATCACCTATGCATCTGTTTGGGAAGAAATTATAAACTATCAAATTTAAAAATAGATAAAAAGGAGTACTGTAGATAAATGTATAGTATTTTTGCATTCATTTAAAGGTACGATTAAAAATGAAGTTATACAATTTATAAATAATTTATAATTTCTTTCAGACAAAAGCTAATATATTAAAAGTTGTTGAGAGTAACCACTTTCTCAACTTACGAAGTTGTTAACTAAACTAAACTAAACTTGATGGATTCAACGACTCAGCAATGCAACCTCCATTTTCTACTTTGGATCAAAGGTTGTTGTTAATGCTTGTCGATTCCAAATACACATTTTGAGTTCTTTGAATCAAAACTAAAGAAAGTTGTTACGTAGATAAACTGCTTTTGCTTCCAAGAAAGAACTTTCATCCATCTCAAAATCAATCTCAGTATCGTCATCCTTCCAGAAGGGAAAAAACTTATAGTCCTCTTGAAATATGAAGTATTCTGTACTCCCCAAACATACGTGTAGTCTATGTTTGAGCTACATTAAAATTTTCATTATCATTCTTGTACACATTTTCAACAACACATTCTTCAAAAAAATAATATTTTTCATCACATAAATAATTTTTTCTTTTTTTTCAACCACACAAT